TATTATTGACCAGAAATGCTCTAACTGTGAATGTCACCCCGACATTTTTTTTTTAAATGTTTATAAATAAAATACTACATCATCTCCACAAAATAGGCACTCGTTACAATTCATATTAAATCTGTCTCAAAACATTTTGAGAAAACATTTACATGGTTTTGTAAAGAGAGAAGCTTCATAAATGTTATGATGGATGTCTACAAAAGAATACTATTTCATATTATTTAATATGATTTTTACTGTCATAGCTCATGTAGTATTAAAGGGATAGTTCATCCAAAAATGAAAATTCTGTCATTAATTACTCACCCTCATGTCGTTCCAAACCCGTAAGACCTTTGCTCATCTTCGGAACACAAATTAAGGTATTTTTGATTAAATCTGAGAGCTTTCTGAACGCAACTGAGACGTTCAAGGCCCAGAAAGGTAGTAAGGACATTGTTAAAATAGTCTCCATGTGACATCAGTGGTTCAACCTTAATTTTATGAAAACAAAAATAATGACTTTATTCAACAATTTCTTCTCTTCAGTGTCAGACTTTGATGCACGTTCACAAGAGTACCACAACACATGACAATTAACGACAGTGTTTTCATTTTTGGCTGAACTATCCCTTTTAAGAAAACCTTCTAGATTTAAGTAATTTATACAAAATTATTTATAAAAAAGTAATTTATAAAAATGTGTAAATTTGGCTTGTAATTTTCCCTTGTGTTTACATCTAATTAGTTTTTTATCATTCATGATACATTAATTTGTTTCTGTTAGTATGTGTAAGCACTTGTGAAAGTAGAGCAGAAATGGAGCGCACCTTTTAGTTGATACACTTCAATCTCATTATACTGTACAGGACAAGTGTGACCTCCGCCCCCAGACAGCTTATTCAATTGACGGATTGTCTCCACGGAAACCACACCACACCGCCAAAGAGGCCCACGAGGGGAGATCTCCTGAGAGGCAGAGAAGGGTGAGACATCAAGGTGAGCCACCAAAATAGATGAACACAATCTCATTGTGTAATCCATTTATTAATTTTACTTCTTATTTACAAAATATATCAGTTTAAAATCAGTATGTATCTCTGTATCTTTCTGCAGCTGACCCAGATGAGGAGCAGATGCGGGAGACGGCTCAGGGGTGGCAGAAAGGCACCTCAGGTTTGGACCAGTGGCTGCCCTCAGCCTACAGTTACACTAAGAACACGAATGCTGAGCAGCAGGTGAAGAGCAGGAACCAAAGGCACAGAGCAGTAGAAGTGAACACATACCTCAATGACAGCGTCATGCCCCGTTCTACAACCACTTCGGGGTATGCTTAAATATTTTGGGTAACACTTTCTGTGAAGCCCATATTTATAATACATGATAAGGTTATTCTTAAGGCATTATAATGAATGCATAGTGCATTACAAAAAAAGTATAATATGTTATATCATCTTATGAATATTCATAACAGTTTTTATGTATTATAATATTTACTTATTTGTGGTTATAGCTTTTAAGAGTATGATGATTTAGAACACACAGTGAACATGTTGCATCCACTTAAGTTTCAATGGATTATATTTCTCATAGTTATAATGTATTATAAGTCTCATATCTTGCCATCTTTCTTATGCTACTTAAAGCAATCAAAGACCACTTATAAGTATAGTAATAATAATAATTCTTTTCTCAAACAGCCATAAGATCAGATATCAGATCAGATGAATGTGTAATTTGACACATTTGCTTTGAACTATTTTTATTGTAATATCAGTTTGATTATTTTGATGGTACCCTTTAGAGAGCTGTTGATAAGTAACTCTGCAACTACATGTCAACTAGCAGTCATTGGAGTGTTACTAGTATGTCTGCTAAATATATGCTAACACTTTATTTTGATGGTTCTTCAACAGACAAACTGACTATAAGTAACTTTGCAAGTACGTCAACATTCTACCAACCTTAACCTAAGCCTACTAATACTCTTAATGAGAGTTAGTTGACATGTAATTGCAAAGTTGCCTATAGTCAATAGACTAAGGGGACCATCAAAATAAAATGTAACCTAACATATAAACATTGCATTTTTTTTTTTTTTCAGTTGAAATTATTAACTAGCTCACATCCAAATTAATATTAGCCTCACAGGGAACATTCAAATAACACTCAACACCTAACCACTCACAAGATGTAGTAAGATACTCTGCAGATCTTAAATAAACAATGTCAAGATATATAGTCCATTATAAATGTAAAAGTAGATTTAATATGGTGTTCATTGTGTGTTATAAATAATCAATCTTAAAAGTTATAACCACAAATGCGTAAGCATTATAATGTATTATAATTGCTGTTATGATTATTTATAAGATGATATAACATATTATAAGGTTCTTTATAATGCATTATGCATTCATTATAATGCCTTAAGAATACCCTTATAATGTATTATAAATATGGGCTTCATAGAAAATGTTACCATATTTTTCATAAATAATTTCTATGTATACATAGGTATGATGATGAGAAAATTCAGGTTACATTAAAACTAAAATGTGTATATTTTTCCATGACAGACCTCCACACAGAGGAAGATTGGAAAATCGAAGGAGTGATAAAAACACAGAGACTCCAAAGGTATGTACGTGAATTGTTACAGGATCATAAATAAGATTTGGAAGACCTGCATGCAGGATATATTAGATGATATTAGGGATGCAGCGATTAACCGGTTTCGCGATTAACCGTGCTTTAAAACGTCACGGTTAATTAATCGTAAAGGTTCCGCTAAACCGAGTGTTTCTATTACACGGAATGGAACTGTTGCAGCTTGCGCAAAACGAAAAAAGTTACACTAGCGGTGCACCAGCTTAAAATGACGTGCTTATCAGAGGCACGGAGGCTACTACATGCATTAGATTAACTGTGACAGAGGGACCAAACAGCGAAGCTTTATTTCCACCAGAGAAATGCCTGTCGATAGTGTGGGTCCATTTTGGGTAGGCTACACCAAGAATGACCAGGGTGTCATTTAAATATTGCTGTAAAAAACTGCTGCTAAAGAGCGAATACATAAGGGATAGGCTAATGCATGGCTAGCTGTATTAATAAAAGTCACGGGGCAGCATTTTCAAGAAGTTTGTGTCCTCCTGAATGTTTGTAAACGTGCGCAGCGCGATCTCCGATCTCACAAACCAAAATAATAGACATGATTTTCTCAGGCCACATGTAAAATCATATGAATTATTATAAAGATTATTCAAATGAATACATATGGATGACAGTTGATTAATATTTCAGTTTATTTCCATCATTAGTAACAGTTTCCCCTGTGGGACAAATAAAGTTAATATTAATCGTATATTAATAATAGGCTACTTCATTAACATTATTTACTATCCCTGTTGTAGTATTATTCATAAGTAAAAACCAACAATATTTTTTTTCACCATGTTTCCAAATTCTCTACCCCAGGTCCAAAAGAAATGTAAAGAATGTACAAACTGAAAACATTAAATATTTTTGTGATCTATTTCCATTTGTTATTTTCAAAAGAGAAATACTGTCATGGATGTTTACAGAGCAGAGGTCACCTTTTTTTTTCCAAATGGAGAGATAGACATTTGTTTGTCTTTATTATTATTATTATTTTGTGCTGTATTATTGGTTACTGTGTTATTTCTGTTTCTAAAGGCAGCAATAAATAACACTTTATTATCTATTAATTGGTCACCTTTTTTTTAATTCCAATGGGAGAGATGGACTTTTGTTTGTCTTTTGTTTATTATTATTTTGTGCTGTATTGTTGGTTACGGTGTTATTTCTGTTTCAAAAGCCAGCAATAAATAACACTTTAATATCTAAAGAGTTTTCATGTGATTTTATACATTAGTAATGTTGGGAAATGAATAAATGCATAATAATCGTAAAACCGTGAGTATTCCTCAGACAATAATCGTACCAACAAAATCTATAATCGTTGCATCCCTAGATGATATGACATATTTTGATTCTACAAATACTTTTTGACCTGTTCAAACATTACATTACATTAATTACATTTTTATCTCCAGGTGCCTAAAAAACATAATGTTGAAAAAGAGGAGGAGGAGTAGAAAAGGGGAAAGAGTCTAACCAATCTTTGAGTCAAAGCAGTGACCTGTTATTACTGTCTATATGCTATTATGTTGTGTCTGTAAATCTTTTACATGTCCAGCTGAATTTATCAATTATTTGGCTTGTAAATGTATTTCTTTAATTGCACTAGTTTTTTTTCTTCATTGTATTTTTTCTATGGTGTTTGTATGCGATTTTAAATGTTTGTTTTGAGCTTTGTTCAATTTTCTTTGTTTCAAAGACGTTGGAAAAATGTTTTATATTTTACTGCAAACTCTACACGTTATAGTATAAATATAGAAACTCCCATAAAACTTTACTGTATTGTTTTATACATTAGTTAATGCAGTGGTTAACATGAACAGCTGAACAATGCTGCATTTATTAATCCTGGTTAATATTATTTTTTACATATACATTTTAACATTAATATTATTAGTTCATAATGCATTGTGAACTAATAATGCACTAATGACCAATTTTAGATTTATGGATTTTAATTAACAATGATTAATAAATGCTGTAAAAAAATATACTGAGTGCATTCACTAATGTTACAGAAGTGTAGTGTGAAGTGCTGCAGAAATTACAAATTCTTATTTGATCCTGAGTTTGAAATAATTTTACAATGTACCGGTAAAAACATCAAAATAATTTTTTTTTTTTATTGTAAAGGCTGTCTGTATATGGTGGCAAAATTGGTTATGTTGTTATTCTGATTGTTTATCTTCCTTTGGTTATGTAACTATCACATCTTTTCAATACAAATATTTTGCTGTGGCTGAACGTAGGATGGCCATCACATTGGGCTGTTTTTTGTTTCTAGTCTACAAAGTGATAACTGGGCATTTTTAACTATCAGAAGATCAATATGGACTCATCTTTATCATTTTTTGGACATGCACTCTGTACTCTGCTTCTTGCACAAGAAAGCCGTACAGGGGTTATGAGAACAAAGGACCTATATAAGATACATATATAAGAACCTTGTTAGAATAATGGAAGATTATTGTCGTTTGATACCAAATGTTCATTTCAAGAAATCGACCAGAGGACGGGGGTGGACATCGATGTCGGCAGTGCTCTATATGCAAGTGACAAATTAAAGCTCCTTCCTGAGTTCTTGAAGGAGATAACGGAGTTTTACCACTCTGACGGCTTCACTGTGGATTTCAGCGTCAAAGAAACACTGGATAAAATTAACACGTATGTGAAGGAAAAAACACATGGGAAAATAGACCAAGCTGTTGATGGTCTGGAATCTGACACTTTGATGTTTCTTCTCGCTTACATATATTTTAAAGGTAAACTCACACACCTATACAATAGTCACAGACTTTTGTAATTCTGGCAATGCCATCGTCTCAGATCCCTTTAAAAATGTCACTTTCTTCCAAAGGAAAATGGGACATGCCATTTAACCCAAGCAGGACCCATCAAAGTAGATTTCATGTGGACGCTGAGACCACCGTTCCAGTACAAATGATGCACCAGTACGAATCCCTCAAAGTTTATTATGATGTCGAACTCACTTCTAAAGTCCTCTGTCTAGACTACAACGACTCTTTCTCCATGTTTCTGGCTGTACCAGATATTCACAGGCCAGTTAAGACCATCAAAGATCTGGAGATGGCCATCTCTAGACAGCACATTGAAAAGTGGAGGACAGCTGTCAGAAAAAGGTTGGTTGTCATAATTATTTAATGTATATCAAAAATAAAGTTATCCGGACTCATAAAAGCATAGATGTTCAAATGTTTTAAGTTCAGTATCTTCATATGGGCCAGTCAATGATTTCTTTTGTCCTTCAGAAACACTGACATCTATGTCCCCAAACTCTCTCTGAAAACATCATATTTCCTGAAAGATATTTTGAAAGGAATGGGAATGGCTGATATGTTTACAGATAAAGCCGACTTCACAGGAATTTCAGAGGAAAGGATGCTCATTTCAAAGGTAAAATATCTAGATCACTTTCTAAATTATGATTTAAAATTAACATTTTATAGTATATAAAAAGCATTTTTAAAAGGACTCGCTTTGATTCACCTTCAAGGCTTTGCATAAGGCCAGTCTGGATCTAGATGAGAAAGGAACCACCGCAGCAGCAGTGACAACGGTTGATTTCAGACTATTGTCCTACAGCCCATTGAAAACTTTGCATTTTGACCGTCCATTCATGATCTTTATCACTGACCAAAAAAATGACAACATCCTCTTCTTTGGAAAAGTTGTCAATCCGGAGGAAAAACAGTAATGTGACATTCATGATGCCATGACAACATTAGCCAGCAGGTGGCCATGATTTAAACAACTGTTGTGCCATTATTTTGCTGCATATTTGATGTAGGACAGAGGTACTCAATCCTTCTTCTAGAGCAGGGGTTTCAAACTCAATCCCTGGAGGGCCGGAGCCCTGCAGAGTTTTGTTCCAACCCTGCTCCAACACAAGCCTGAAGGACTTGATTAGTTGGATCAGGTGTGTTTAATTAGGGTTGAATCTAAACTCTGCAGGGCTCCGGCCCTCCAGG